ACAAGATATCATACAGGTGGAGATTTGTACAAACAACAATAAAACGGATTATCGCTAGGAATACAATCAGATGCTTAATCTTTTGGTTTTAAACAAATTACTGTCAGGATAATCCTTCAAAAGTTGTTTGCGAAGCGCGATAAAATAGGTGCAAAGGCGTTACGGACTATTTCGGCCCTCGTTTAGATTTGTAAAATTGTCATCCCAATTATATCTTTTGCTTTCTATGTAATGTATAGTCTTGTCTAGATGGCTCCAGCTAAGACATTTATGTTTAATTTTGTTATTATTTTGTAATCGTTTCACGCCCCGTTTTAATAACTCGACAGTGGCTTTGCCATTGGTTTCGCCTACTATCTGAATCACAGAAACACCACATATATTTGTACAAAAATACTTTTAAATTGTATGTAATTTTTAGTCTTGTTTAGATGGCTTAAACAAAGACATTTATATTTGATGTTCTAATCATTTTTCGCCCCATTCGCCTTGTTATAATTCCATATAGGATACGCCATTGACTTTGACTACTATTTGTGCAAAACATTGCCAGGAATTCCAAAACTGAAAATCTTCTGCTGTCTGGGTCTGACGCGATTAAGGACGGCAATTGGGTCTTCCCAGACAATAAACCGGTCAAGTTTTTTGAATGGGGGAGTGGTGAACCAAACAACTCTGGAGGTACAGAAAATCGCATAGCTATTCATCGGCCTAGCGGCTATAAAGTGAATGACATTTTGTCTCCACCAAGTACAATTTTCAACTTTCTTTGTGAAAGGGAGATTAACTCTGATGATCCGCTTGACCAGGTTAAATAAAATTGTAACTTGGGGTCAATCAACAGAGTTCTAAATTAAACATTGATTTCAAAGCTTTCTGAACATTGTTTGATGTGTTATTATTAGTCGCAATGAACAATTTTTGTTGTGTGTCTGTATGTTTTTGTTATTGTTTGTTTTGTTGATATTTTGTGTCAGTGTGTTTGTTGTTGCTTTGGTGGTTATTATACAAACGTTTATTTATTTCAAGAGAAAAAATGGCAAACAAGATTTGAAGCATCCATAGCAAACCCATTATTTTTCAAACTTGAAATTTTGTGAGAGAGTGATAGCGTGGTGGCTTAGTATTAGATTCCAGAGATAACGTGCATTATCTTCATACCAATATGCTAACGAAAAACTGCAACCTGGACCTAGAACTAATTCTTTTGAAACGAACGTTTCAATTGTTTGAAAGGTTTAAAAAATAACTTGAATTATTTTAGAAAATTGCCGCGGTAACTGCCTCCCCCCTTTCCCGCATTTTTGTTTTCGGTTTTGCGTTTGCGTTTATTTTTATGTTTGTATTTGTATTTGTGAGATTGTTTGGTTCTGATTGGGGTTTTTGTGTGGTTAGGGTTAATAAATTTATTTGGAAAAGTAATATATTGCCTTAACCTGGGCATTGTTTTAGGGTCTGCTTCGGTAAGTTCCACATGTCGTAAAACATTACGACATGTGTAATACAGTATCATACATGCTATGTGAGGAAGCCAACTCTTGTGTTATGTTGATGTCTTCACAATAAACACAAGAAGTTCAGAGGTGGAACGGCTGTCCAGCGACTGATCCATTGTAATTGAAAAATAGCGAAACTTGCTTGCATTTTTCGCTATTTGAGTCTTATTGTTTTCATCCAATGTCTGCAACACGGTTTGTAACTGTAGTTGCACCCAACGCTACAATTTTCAAATTGTTTTAAATTTTCTGGACAAAGTTTCTCAGCCCCCTACAAGAAATATTTTTTTCTGAGGACAAATCGGCGGGCCGGATGAAAGGACCTCGTGGGCCGCATCCGGCCGCATCCGGTCCGCGGGCCGTAGATCGGAGACCCCTGATGTAGAACAAGGAGGCAAACTACAGAAAAAAAACTACAGAGGATACAGAAAAAGGATAATGTCAGACATTGCACTTAAACTTCCTTGTGCCAGTTGGAATGCTAGATATGGATGTTGGCAAAATAAGGGTAGGAAAAGCGGAAGAAAGATAGTCAAATGAAACACACGGAGAAGGCGACGAACTGGACGTCAAGGTGGTCCCAACCCGACTACTCCGACCCGAGGCAACGCCTTTCGTGCCAAAAGTGGTCGCCCGGGAAGTGCAGGAACAGGTGGTTGTCAGACCAGTCCCACACCTGTCCAGGTGATTGTCAGGCCAGCCCCACACCTGGACCAAGTGATTGTCAGGTCAGCCCTACACCTGGACCATGTGATTGTCAGGTCAGCCCTACACTTGGCCAGGTGATTGTCAGGCCAGCCCCACACCTGGACCCTGTGATTGTCAGGCCAGCCCCACACCTGGACCAGGTGATTGTCAGGCCAGCCCCACACCTGGCCAGGTGATTGTCAGGCTAGCCCCACACCTGGACCATGTGATTGTCAGGCCAGCCCCACACCTGTCCAGGTGATTGTCAGGCCAGCCCCACACCTGGACCATGTGATTGTCAGGCCAGCCCCACACCTGGACCATGTGATTGTCAGGTCAGCCCCACACCTGGACCATGTGATTGTCAGGTCAGCCCCACACCTGGACCCTGTGATTGTCAGGCCAGCCCCACACCTGGACCAGGTGATTGTCAGGTCAGTCCTACACCTGGACCATGTGATTGTCAGGTCAGCCCTACACCTGACCAGGTGATTGTCAGGCCAGCCCCACACCTGGACCCTGTGATTGTCAGGCCAGCCCCACACCTGGACGAGATGGATGCGGAGGACGACGCATCGGACGCGTATGACTCATTGATGAACCCAGAACCACCAGAGCAGCTGCGGAGGTCAACCCGTCTGCGACGACCAGTGGAGCGACTCAACCTGGCGCATCAAGTGGTGACCAGTGCCAACACAAGAGCTTCTACCATTTTATATGGAGAAATGTTTGAGTGTTCAGAACTATAATGTATGTACTACTGTACTGTAATTGTTAAAGTACTACTATTTATGATTATTGTGAGTTGTAAATGTAAATGTTTAAGTATACCCATTATTCATTTATTTGTGAGGAGAGCTTTGTAACACATACCATGGGTTACCAGTCAGGGGGTATGATTTGTAATTTATTTGGTTGCGGTTCATGTGGGATCGCATTTGTTGATGTATTTTTTATGCTTTTCTGTGAGCAAAGTTCCCCGTATTCCCATTTTATGTGACCTCTGGGACTCTGGGTAGTTGTAAGTGTATCCGCGACATTCAAACCCCAAGCTGCGGATGACAAGGACCGTTCAGTTATGTAGCGACTGTTGTTTGTCTGGTTTGGTATCAAACCGAAAAAAAAGAACACTTGAAAATGATTTCAAACAAAAGTTTAACACGCTGAGCAAGAACTTATCAAAGCCGGAGAAGGTCCTAAAACATTACGACATGTGGAACTTACCAAAGCCGGAGAAGACGTGAAGCAACAGAGCGATGAAAAGCAACCAGTGTTCCTTCAAGATTTTTTCCACGGGGGGGGGGGGGGGGGGGAAGCACTTAATATTTTCGAGGGGTGGAGGGGTCTACATTTCCGGGGAGCGTACACTAGTAAAAGTATATGTTGACTATATAAATCCTTTCTCGTTCGGGGGGGGGGGGGGCGGTAGACTTCCTTTGATGGGGAAAGAGATGCCTGGAAGAAATTCTGACAGCAACATGTTTGTCGAATCTCTTCAGGAACAGCCGAGAGGGTGTATTCTAATGGCTGTGTTGGCTGGGTTTTATAGTATTGTTGTACAAATATATGTGATGCGAGGACTTGTTCTGTAATTTCAAAATTGATCCAAAATTAATAATATATGAGACAAAGTAGCCGAAGACAAGGGCTGATATTAGTTTGAGTCTCTGGTAGAGGAGGGACTGGGGTGTCAAAGATTTCCTTAAATACGCACACACTCACAGTCTTATAGTACACAGTCACCGCCTTATGTTCTAAGGACCATTTTTCTCTAAGTCGCATCTCATATAGAATGCTATACAGACACAAGCCGAGCATTACATTACTCACAGTGAAAAAGCAGCCAGAATTATTAAAACTCCATCACAGCGTAGACTAAATCTTAGTCAGGGCGTCCAGGCCTATGCGCGCTTTAGCCTACCAATGTACAAAAAGTCTGTCAGGTAAAAACTCTTTGTACATAACCCACGAGAAGCGGCCAACTCGCACAAAGGCCAATCAATGCACGCATGGATCGCACTTTGGTCTTTATTTGAAACACAAACACATACACACACACACACACACACACACACACATATATATATATATATATATATATATATATATATATATATATATATATATATATATATATATATATATATATATATATATATATATATTAGCTTGTCCGATTTTCTGCAAAACATACTAGAAATAGACTGAGGCATACTAAACTTTCTGCAACTGCTATCATCTTTTTTGTTATACGTCTACTATATATATATATATATATATATATATATATATATATATATATATATATATATATATATATATTTATATATATATATATATGTATGTGTGTGTGTGTGTGTGTATTTTCTTAAGGGTATATGACGGCATATATGTGTGAACAATCTTTTACAACACGTTTAAATTATTATTTTTATACTTTTCTACAACAAATATGCCACGTATTACTCCTTAACAACGCCATTACATCGCCACATACTCTTTCAATAGGCTCCGTATGGGTATCTGCTTATCTCTAGGATGAGACTCCAATTCTATTTGCAAATACATGAAGGAATCAATGAGTTATTTCAGTTCTTAAATTGTCAGCGGCAGATCAATGCAGCTATCCTAAATTTGTACTTGTTTGAATTTTAAAGCCTTCATACTGAAATGTGCTGGTTGAGAAGCTCGAAACAAGATATCATACGGGTGTAGATTTGTTACAAACAGCGATAAAACGGATTATAGCTAGGAATACCATCAGATTCATAATCCTTTGGTTTTAAAGAAATTACTGTCAGGATAATCCTTCAAAAGTTATTTGCGAAACTCGATAAAATAGGTGCAAAGGCGTTACGGACTATTTCTTCACTCGTTTAGATTTGTAAAACTGTCAATCCATTTATATCTTTTACTTTCTATATAATATAGTCTTGTCTAGATTGCTCCAACTAAGACATTTATATTTAATTTTGTAATCTTTTTTTGCACCCTTTATGTTTTTAATAACTTCATATGGGCTTCGCCATTGACTTCGCCTATTATTTTTATATACATATTTTTAAAAAAAACCGTTTTCTAAATCACAGAAAGACCACACATATTTGTATAACAAAACAATAAAACACGGTACACACAGCCATTAGGATACACCCTCTCGGCTGTTCCTGAAGAGATTCGACCAACATGTTGCTGTTCACCGCTCTGTTGCTTCACGCCTTCTCCGGCTTTGGTAAGTTCCACATGTCGTAATGTTTTAGGACTTTCTCCGGCCTTGGTAAGTTACACATGTCGTAATGCTTTAGTCCCTCTTCCGGCTTTGGTAAGTTCCCGAATGGGACAAAAGTCCCAAAGCCACTATCAAGTGTCCGTTCGGGAAACTACCTTGGGACACCCGCGTTCTTTCAAGTATAGCGAAAACGTCCTGTTCCTCTGGTATCACTTAGGTTTACAACAGAATTTCACCCCCCCCTCTCATAGACATAGCAAGCATCACAGTATACGGAGGTAGTTCTGTTATGAGACAACCTAAGGTCTTGAGTGCATGTTTCATTATTGGAGGGGTTGGATGGAGGGGGGATCACACTCGTACACAGTCGCTTAAGCAATGGTTATCATAAATAGACTGGAAAAAATGGAAGAATTGGCTAATGCATGTTGCCAGCAGCCAGAAACAGACATTTGTTTCCTCCCCTTGATTGTAGTGCGCCATCTGGAAATGTGGAAGGTGGGGGGGGGCGGGGAGCTCGAGTAGGCCACAACCTACAGTAAAGAGTTACTTTACTCGTGACTTTCCGTTAGAAAGCTCCAGTTTTACCCCTAGAATACACCGTAGACAGACATTGACAGTATTTCTCTGAACAAGCTTGTTCGATATTTTAATCACTTTTAACTTCTTTAAAGTCTATAAATTGGAAATAATGGTATAATTCTAAATTTTACAAACGAATACGACTGAGTACTTTTAGTCATGTGTTATTTTAACAGTGTTTTCTATAATATCTATATTCTTACACAGCTTCTACTAGTGATTCTGGAGAGCCATCTATGTGTTCAATGCTGGAATATATGGGGCCTCACAATGAAAGCAAGTATTTTCTCTCCAAATTTTACTACGTAAACGCACAACAAGCTCTAAATATATGTTCAATATGCGGCATGTACCTAGTAGAGGTCAATGACGAAAGTGAGTTCAAGTTTGTGCAAGACATTGCCAGGAATTCCAAAACTGAATATCTTCTGCTTTCTGGATCTGACGCGATTACGGAAAACAATTGGGTCTTCCCAAACAATGAACCGGTCAAGTATAAAGCGTGGTCAAGCGAAAATCCAGACAACCATCTAGGTGTTGAAGATTATCTATCCATTGCTAAGGTGTACGGCTATAGAATGAATGACATGCCAGATCCACCAAATAATAATTACAAGTTCCTTTGTGAAAGAGCGATTAACTCTGATGATCCGCTTGACCAGGTTAAATAAAATTGTAACTTGTTATTAATCAACAGAGTTTTAAATTAAACATTGATTTCAAAGCTTTCAGATTGTTTTCTTGTATATTATTATTAGTCCCGATGAACTTTTTATTTATTTTAAGCCTTTTTAGTAGCTTTAAACTTCTTTATATCATTGGAGAAAGCTTGCGAAATGCACAAGAGAATGTATCTGCAGATGTGATATAAACATATCAAATTTAGCTTTACATGACTTTACAGAACTTATCATTTCAGCTAAGCTTTTGTCTTTACCCTGCAACTCCAAATTTAAAGAATTCAATTTTTCCATGATGTCTGTGAGAAATCCCAAATCAATCAGCCAGCCAGAGCCAGCTAGTTCATCATAATTTTCCTTTCTATCGTTAATAAATGTTTTTATTTCTTCAATTAAACTCACAAATCTTGTAAGAACATTTCCTTTACTGAGCCAACGTACTTCAGTATGCAGAATAAGATCATGTTCTTTATCTTCAGTACCTTCTATCAGGGCCTTGAAAAGTCGGTGTTGCAAAGGGGCTGCTCGAATAGATTGATTATTTTTGTAACTATTTTCATGACGTGTTTAAAAATTTTACAACACAGAGCTTCCTGGTGGATAATACAATGGTAGAACATGAAGTTTGAAAATGAATCATCCTTCATGCAGAGGGCAATAAATCCTTTGTTTTTACCCATCATTACTGGCGCCCCATCAGTGGTTATTGCAGACAGCTTGTGCAAAGGCATATTTATTGACTTGGCGTATGTTTTGAATGTATTATAAATATCCTCACCCATTGTCTGTCCTTTCATAGGTAATATTTGTAACATATCCTCTTTTACTGTGAAGTTATTAAACACCATTCTCACCATAACTGCTAACTGTGCGGTGTCTAATATATCTGTTGACTCATCAAATTGTAGCGAGAACTAATCACATATTTCAAAGTCAGTTTTTAACTGAGTTTGTATGTCTGTTGAATTTGCATGTATTTTTCTTGTGACTGTGTTATTTGACAACTGTAAGTCTTGTATTGCTGAGACAATCTCACGTTTGTCAGAAAATCCATCAATCAAACAATCGGCACCAGTCAAAAATAGTTCCTTAAACAACTCACCATCAATGAAAGGTTTCTTCTTTTTTGCGAGCATGTGAGATATTTTGAAAGAAGCAATAGTGGCCTTTTTAGAATTTTCCACATGTCTAGTAAAAACAGTCTGTTGTGCTGTTAGACTTAATTTTAGATTACAATTGTTTTTCTTTCTTACTTCAGATTTAAGAGGATAATTCACATTAAAAGTGCCATGATTTGTCTGAAAGTGTCGTTCACCGTTTTGTTTTTTCGGCACTGCAATGCTACTAACACACAACAAACAAACGCATTTATTTTTCAAATTATCGAAACAATATGATTCCTCCCAGTCAGTGTTAAAAGTTCCTATGTAACTGTCGCGACCCGAACAGGGCAGCAATCACAATGACAACAACGCGGTTCCAGGCGGGGAATGCTTTTTGCACATCACTCCATGTACACGCGGAAAACCTTACGTGAGCCGATGATCGCCGAAGCAATCAGAGTTATGTGCCTTGTGATTTGGCGCCTTCGGCGTTTATCGGATCAGTTCGTTCCATTCGTTCACTTCGGGTTTTCTGCGTGTACAAGGTGTGATGTGCAAATGGCACTAGCCGTTTAAGACTAGCGTAAATAGTGCAGTCTGGCTCGCCGCTAGACAAGTTAGGACAAGTATCGTACATATTTAATAAACCTAGGCAGTAAAAAAATTAAAACTGTAACAAATGAATTAAAATAAATCATATTTTAAAATGTTTATGAAAAAAATTCTGTCTCTGTCGAATAGTGAGAGGCGGGCACATACGAATCGTTCAGCAGGCGCCATGGCGCCCGCGGGCACAGGGTTGGGGGCCCCTGATGTAGAACAAGGAGGCAAGTGAGAACTGTCAGCAGACAGTACACCAGATGAAAGAGCATTTAACAGGGAATAAAAGAAACGAGTAATGAAAGATGGGATCTAATATTCAAAGTAGTAGATGATGAATTAGGAAGTAGATTTCAACTAGTTATCCCTAGGTAACATCGGAAAAAAGCAATGCAAGGGGTATATGAAGTCGTATTTAACACCCAACTAGACCATGCGATTAAATATGCTCGTATGCGGTTCTACTGGCCACATCTGTTTCGAGACCTTGAAAGAAAATCAAGACACGTGGGGGATGTCTAAGGAGGGATGCACCAGCCCAAAAAGCAGACAATAACCACTTTGTTTCCGTTAGAACTGCTGTCAATAGACTATTTAACTCTTGAAGCAGAAGGTCACAAACAAAATGTTCTAGTGATGCTAGACTATTTCACGTAGTTTTGCCGTGGAGGTGTGCACCAAAGACCAGACAGCGAAAACTGTAGCTAGGACACTGAGTTTTTCAGGACGTGCCAGTGTACACCGTGCAGGAGGATACAGGAAAAGGGCAATGGCGGACATTGCATAGAACCTCCCTTGTGCAAGTTGGAATGTCAGTGAAGGGGGAGAAGACAAGAAAAGGCAATGTCGGAAATCGCACTGAAACTTCATTGTGCCAGTTGGAATGCTGGCAAAATATTGATAGGAACAACGGAGGAAAGATAGGTCAAATGAACCAGACGGAGAAGGCGACTGGACGTCAAGGTGGTCCCAACCCGACTACTCCTTTCGTGCCAGAAGTGGTCGCCTGGCAAGTGCAGCAACAGGTGATTTTCAGGCCAGCCCTATACCTGGACCAGGTGATTGTCAGGCCAGCCCCACAACGCATCAGACGCGGATGACTCATTCATGAACCCAGAACCACCAGAGCAGCTGCGGAGGTCAACCCGTCTGCTACGACCAGTGGAGCGACTCAACCTCGCGCATCAAGTGGTGACCAGTGTCAACATCAGAGCTTCTACCATTTTATATTGAGAAATATTTGAGTGTTCAGAACTATAATGTATGTACTACTGTACTGTAATTGTTAAAGTACTACTATTTATGATTATTGTGAGTTGTAAATGTAAATGTTTAATTATACCCATTTTACATTTATTTTTGAGGAGGGCTATAGGCCTATAACATATACCATGGGTTACCAGTCATAAGGTATGATTTGTAATTTATTTGGTTGCGGCTCATGTGGGACCGCAAATGTTGATGTATTTTTTATTGCTCTTCTGTGAGCAATGTCTCCGTGTTCCCATGTCATGTGACCTCTGGGACTCTGGGTAGTTGTACCTGTGTCCGCGGCATTCAAACCCCAAGCTGCGGATGACATGGACCGTTCAGTTGTTTAACTTGGTTATGTAGACCTAATGAAATATTTATGTTTTATTATCAGACTAGTGCCGCATGTTGCGGACTAGTTAGTATATATATTTATAATACTTGTTGACTGTATTGAATACTGGCCGAAAACATTCTATTGTATGACACCCGTATATTTATGCTATAGCCCACATGTGGTGGTGTATTCAGAAATGAAACTTATTGTTTGTTTACATTTGTTGTAGGGCTATATACTGTACATTACTGTACAACTACTGTAAATGGATTTGCCGTATACGGATTTGCCGTATATGCAGTAAAGTCAGGATCTATCAACAAAAGCGTCATTGATCGTTTGTGTATTATCTCTTAGGGTAATCCCTTAAAAACACTACACCTAAGTGGGTGACATCACACCACATCCCCGCTGAGCCGGTGTTACACTACGATTTATTTTTTAATTTGTTGCGTGAATTTCAATGAAGCTGAGGATAAATATTAGGTTTTTTTAAATTTCCAGGTCCTCTTGGACAGAGCTAGACCAGCCCTGATTAGATGTTTTATAGATATACATTCAATGAACGTGTGCGACTGTTGTTTGTCTGGTTTGGTATCAAACAAAAACAAACACTTGAAAATTATTTCAAACAAAAGTTTAACACGCTGAGCAAGATAAAAGTTTCAAGTTGATAAAACTTCACAAACATTCCAAAATAAAAGTTTCAACCTTAAACATCTTCACAAACATTCGAAAATAATAACCTCACTATTAGGGCAAACTATTTTAACCATGGACAATTTCTCATTAAGGCTCAGAGAAATATTTTAGATTTAGAAAGTAACATTACTTGATTCCTCCCACTTAGAGTAAGAAAAGTCTTCTTCACTTCACTTCAGAACTTTATTCATCACACTAGACGACACGTCTTGTCTCCAGCTACATTCTAAGTTACCTTGATACTCACTTGGCACACACACACTAAGAGACTGAACATTCAAGGGACATTACTACGATATATAATATACAACGGATGTAACAATAACTAATAAGACATAACGTAACATAATGCACTTGAGAGCCTTGTCTACAAAATATTTTAAATATAAAAAATTCAAAAGCTTTCACACACATTTTTAAAATATAAATTATTTAAAAGAATTTTACACAAAATACCTTAAATAATAAACACTTTGAAGACTGTCAAACATAACAATATAGAGACTCAGCAGTCTGCAAAAATGCTTAAACCAATATAATATTAAACCTTTTTAACCTGGTTAAAACAAATTTCCTAGAAAACTCATTTAGTCTCGGCCGTATTTTTCAACGTTCACCAAATTTTAAAATTGGGAAAAAAATTACTGTAGTATTTTAACATTATTTTCAGCCTTTTTTTAAGGCTTTGTACACAAGACATTTTAAATTAAACAGGAAAAAAGTTGACTCATGTCATGTAAACCTCATTCAGGACTATTCTCATCAGCTCACCAAAGTTGGCGTTTGGATGAACGGTGTCTAACCACATCCGACTATTATTTTTTATATACTGTAAATAGAGAACAATCGAACCGCGAGCTGTCGGGATGCCAACCTTCTATTCGCACAAACTTCCCCAGGAGTATTCTCAACAATTTCCCAAAGTTTCATTACGGTCGGATGAAAGATGTAGTAATGATTGAAAGACAAACAGAAAAACATAATATATTGCTTTATTATTTATGGTATATATATATATATATATATATATATATATATATATATATAT